TGACTCATCAAAACTTGTGCCCCATACAATTATATAGTCCATATAAGCTAAACATTCTTCCCACGTCAGTCCCTGCAATACTAGCTCCATTGCTCTCTGAAAAGTTGCTGGTGCATTACAAAGATCCGAAGGTATTCTAACATATTCAAAGAGCCCATACTTTGTAATAAATGCAGTTTTATCCCTATCCTCTTCAGCCATGACTATCTGGTGATACCCTGAAGCCATATCCAAAGTACTCATGAACACTGAGCCACCAAGCATGTCAAGGCAAGAATCGATATTTGGGAGAGGACACGCGTCTTTAGAAGAGCAAGCATTTAACAAGCGAAAATACTGGCAATATCTCAGCTTTCTGTCCTTTTACCTAACCAGAACGGGCGGTGATGCCCACTCCGAAAGTGAAGGCTGAATAATACCCTGATCAAGTAAGTTTTTCAAATGTGCTTTTTCCTCAGATTCAAATCCTAACAGAGTCCTCCTCATCCTCTGTCGAACTGGTTTTGCATTCCCAACATCAATCTTATGCTCAAAAACTGAACAACAACCAAGGTCCCACTCATTTTGGCAAATACATCTTGGAAATCAATTAGTACCCTTGCTAACTCTTTACTTTCTCCACTTGAAAGGTCTTCAGATGATCTATTAAACAAAGCTTGTAAATGCATAGGAACAGAATCCTCAGAACCATGATCAACTTGTACTAGACGCACGCTGAAATGTTCTCCCCAGATAGTGCAGTATCATTTTCCAGAACCTGTTCAAATTCGGTAGCAATGCCTAGTTGAAACTGTTGTCTAAGAGTCACAGACGAATCTGAATGGTTTCTCAACACAACTGGCACAGTCCCAGGTCCTCGTACAATAGCAAAGTTTGACATGTGCAACTTTGCTTATACTACTACCTGTTCTTAATAATGCTGCCTCAACCACTTCACCATTCAGTATAACTTAGAGATTGTCTAAGTGAATGACTGCATGATTATACCTGAGAAAGTCTAGACCTAGAATGATAGACTCTGAAATTGCAGCAACTACCACATCCCATTTGAAATCTTGTGTTCAAATGTTCATTGGATACTTCCGTAGCCACCAACCATTCACAATACAGTTTTTATCAACACCCCTCAGAATGATGTTTTCTGACAGATCAAGAGAAATACCTAACCGGTGTGCTACCTCTTCACTAAGGACTGTAACCTGAGCTGCAGTATCTATAAGTTCCTGACATGACAAATCACCACACTGTACCGGAATAACCAAATTTTGATTTCTCCCCACTCCACCGTCTTCATACAAAGTGATTTCCCTAACACCGACATCAGAACAAGAATCATTTGACAAATCTGAGATTGTGTAGGAATCAGAGGATCCGATTCAACCGAAGATGGACTCAAACTCGCCCTACAACTATCTTCTTGGCCACTATCAAGTACACGGGTTGGGAATGGGACATCTTTCCCAACCATTACTTGTTTAAAGACTTGGCTACTGGTGATGGAGATCTTGACTTAAGTTTCTTTGGGCAGTCTCTTGCAAAATGGCCCTCCTCCCCACAAGTGTAACAATTTCTTTGTGCCTTAGGACTTGGGGATCTAGAATGTTGCTCATTACAGTGCCTGCATTACATGTTTCAATATATCTGTCATTTCTACGAGACAAGCCCTAGTTTTGGCATTTTCATTAGAAAGCTCGGAAAAACATTTTTACAAAAACTCCTGATCCCCAGATAAAGTTTTCTCATTCTCTGAAGTACCAGCAAGGAAATCCGAATTGTTCTCTTCTGTGAAATGGACCTCTCTGATGTCCGCCCTCCTAGAGCCTAGAATAATTCTCAGATTGTTTGAAAATGTTTTACCAAGTGCTTCGTCTAAAGTTTTTGGACTTTATCCATTGCTGATAATGATTTCAGAGCCTTTCCTTGTAATACCTCAACCAAAAGATCTAATTTTTGTTCATTATCCCACTGACAACGATTAGCCATTCTTTCAAATTGAATTTTCAAATGGTTTCCATTCCGCTTTCCCAACTGACCGGAGGAGTCCTTGGGTGGGTTCCTAATGTCTGTTGATGGTGAAGACGGCCGCGCTGGGGAATGTGACTTTGGATCCCTTTTCTAGATAGTTGGGGGTAAGGTGAAAGATTTGATTAGGTTATGTTTATATAGAATTTGTTTTTGGATGGCGTAAATTTTACTTATTAGGTTGGAGTTAGTGAGAAAGGTGGCTATAGCATTGAAAATGTTGGGGGTTATGGGTTGAGTAGGAGGTGTATGTTGTTGTGATATTTGCTGGGTATGAAGTTATGTAATTGATTGATGTTTGTTTGTTGCAGGTGGCAGTGTGTAAATATATGTTGAATTGTTTCGGGTAGTTTGCCTTGTGTGCATAGTCCATCTGGGTGTCTATTTTGTTTGTATAATGCGTCGTTTAAGTTTGTTATGCCGGTGATTAGTCTAGTGATAAGTATGTCTATGTGTTTGTTGTTTGAGTATGTGAGGGTTTTTGTGTTAGGGCTTGTGTGGTTTGTATAGTGGAGGTTTGTTGTTAATTAGGTCGTTACGTGATTTTGAGTGCTTATTTTGGGGGTGTTTGTTGTACGTGGATGCCAGTATGCCTGTGTGATTGTTTGTACCGACTGATGCGTCTGTATATATGTGGCCTGTGTCGTTTGGGTGAGTTTAGGTTGATGTGGGTTTGGGTGAGGGGGTTTGTTTTGGTGTGAATGTCAGTGTTTTTAGGGAGATATTGAAGTGTTTCTGTCAGGGTAGTATCTGTAGAGGGTGGAGGTTTGTCATGGATGTAGCTTGTTATGGGAGGTGTGTGCTGGATATTGTTTAGATGTTGTGAGTGAAGCAGATTGTTGAGGTGAGTGAGTAGAGGGGCTTTGGGTTGTTTTAAATCTTTTGATAGTGGAATTTTTTAGTGTTGGTGTATTTAGTTGAAATAAGTTTGTATATTGGGTGGTGTTGGGCCCCAGCCCAGTAATTGAGTGCAGTTTAGTTTATTCGTGTTTTGATTGAAGGGATGCCTGTAAGTAGGAGAGAAGAGTGTTGTGGGAGGTGCCAGTCCTAGTGCCTAGGGCTTGCTTAAGGGCTTTATACTGTATGTAATTAAGTTTTTGTAGGTTGGATGGGGAGAGGGAGTAGAGGACCGGAGCAGCGTAGTCCAATCTAGACTGTATATGAGTTTTGTATATGTTAATAAATATTTGTTTGTCGGCTCCCCAGTTGGTACCACTGATAGCTCGCATGAGATTTAAGTCTTTTGACATGAGTTGACCTCTTTGATTTGTTGAGGGCCTTTTTCCGTGCCTTTCTGGCATTAATAATATCTGGGGTCCACCATGGGACTGTTTTCTGTGCTTGGGTGGTCCGAGAGGTGGGTATGCATTTAATTGTTATGCCAATAATGGTGTTGGTGAGATGTGTGTTAAAAGTTTCTGTATCGGTGTTAATAATGTTAGATGTGTCTACTTGTTTGCATAGTTTAGTGAATTTGTTCCAATCTGCTTTGTGTAAGTTGTATTTGATTTCTGTGTTGGGGGTTGGGGTAGTATTAGCGTTTGTTTGTGGTTCTGGTGCAAGTAATGTGGATATGGTAATTTTGATGGGGCGGTGGTCACTGCCCCAGTTATCTGAGTGTACCTCCATAGACAAGATTTTGATAATGTAGGCGTGGTGATAGTTAGATCAATTGTTGTAGGTGATTGGACGTGGGAAAGATCAATTGTTGTAGGTGATTGGACGTGGGAAGAGGGGTATCTGGTGGGCTGGTTGTCATTTAGGGTGATGAGGTTTTGTCGTCTAGCCAGTTTGATAGGAGAATGCCGTTGTTATCAGTATAAGGTTTGGTGCCCCATAATGGATGGTGAGAGTTAAGGTCTCCGAGGATAAAGGTGTTGGGCGTTATGAATTTTGCTATGTTGTCCAAATCTTGAGATGTAAGTTTAATGGAAGGTCTTCTGTAGATATTTATAAATGTTAATAATTTATTATTAATTGTTGTTTTGATAGCCAGGACTTCTAGATTAGTGGTTGGAATATCAATTTCTGAATAGTTTAGTTTGTCTGAGATAGCTGGGGGTCCTGGGAGGTTTATTGGCCGAGGTCTGTCTTTCCGGATGTAATTGTAGCCTGGGATTTTAAAGGTGAATTTGGGTGATAATTTTGTTTCTTGTAGGAAAATTATTTGGGGCGAAATTTTGTTTTGGGCGATGAGTGCCTTAAGCTCATGCCCGTTTGCTCGAAGGCCGTTACAATTCCATTGCATCAGAGCCATGACTGCAGCAATTTTGAAGAAAACTTTATAAAAAGTCATGGGTGGGTGTGGTTGTATTGAAAAAACAGTTTTGCATTGGTTGGTGAGAGTTGAGGGGCGCAGTGGGTAGGGGTGGGGTTGTGGTACATACAATATATACAAAATGAACAATATATACATACAAAGTTGAAAAGATGAACATGAAATATTTACAAAACAAATTTGATGATGATTTGATGGTATTTACACTTAGTTGATTTGATTTTGATGGGGGGTATATACAGATAGGCAAGTAGTACTTGCAGTTTAGTGGTGGGGCGAGAGCCCGGAGTGCCTGTGGCTAGGCGCCCTTGGTCGGGACTTTTTGCGAAAGTCTTTTGCTTGCAATCGAGGTAGGGTTGGAGGAAAGATGGCGACGCCAGGGTCGGTCGATTGATGTGATCCGTCGATGCTGCTCCGTGATAATCAGCAACCAGCTCCAAAGAAGCTCAATCAGACAAATGAATGAATGAGCTGCTCAACATCGGCAGTATTTATATTCGGGATACACCCGAACCGGCCCCAAGCCGAACCGGCCCCTGGATATTTAACCCAAACCGGCCCCTGGATATTTAACCCAAACCGGCCCCACACCGGAACCGGCCCCTGGGTTAATTAACGGTAATCAGAGAGACAATTAATCAGACAGACATGAAGATTTCAATTAATTTATTATATATATACAGACATGAAGATTTCAATTAATTTATTATATATATACAGACATGAAGATTTCAGTTAATTTATTATATATATACAGACATGAAGATTTCCTTTTCCTTATTGTGCCATCCTGAAGCTACTTCTTAGTTATGAGAGATGTTATTAGAATAAGGGTCTGGGATGGAGTCTTGATGCCCTGTGAATATTCTGTCCAGATGTCTTGTATCTGCTGGTTAAATGCCCTGGTCTTCCGCGATTGGTGGCGTGACAGTTGACCCCAGGCCAGCAACTGTGGTACCTGGGGTACATACAGGGCTTCTTTGTGAAGGAGGTTCACCAAAAGGAAGAACTGAAGGTTCTTTTTGCCGGCCGCCTGGTTGACCTTCTTGTGCCATCCTGAAACAGAGAAATAAAAAGATTAGACTCACATAACATCAGAAATTGTTATATGGCAAACTGTAAACGCAACTTAGTGTTAAAATTTGGAAAAGAAAATTATATGAGCACTTACCTTCACAATCGTTGTTGGTCTTCACCGTCATGCCATACACGGACCAGCTGGTGATTGGCCAAACAGTTGAACAAAGCCAGGTGTTCTCTGCATAGGTGAAAAGGGGGTACAGGCTCGTGTCTTCTGTTGTGGCTTTGATGGCGGCAAACTGGTCAGGAATGTGGGGGTGATGCAAGTAAGGCAATGCCATCAGCTTCTTGAGATTGTTCTATAGGATTCGTGTCCTTTGTGGAATTCGTTCTGCAAATAAACAGAATATTTAGGAATATATATGACATATGAACTACATGAGTTTGCTTATTATTGTCTCACTAGTAACGCACTGGAATATACTTACATCAAGACCAAGGGCTTGCACTTTTCTCCGGATGGCCTGCTCCCAGTGAAATAAGCATCCTCTGATCTCGACCATGGGTAGTAGCCCTCGGACGGCCTGCCATACCTCGCGCTCGGAGTCAGCCATCACCCGCTTGACACACAGTGACTCCAGCCCTCCCATTTCTTCTGCAAGGGTAGAGAACACCAAAAAAAGATTTTTATTTATTTATATATCTATAAATGACCGATTTTGTTTTAATTTTCTTAATGCGAAATTTAGAGTAGATTGTCATAGAAAATGTTCAAAAGCAACTTACCCTCCTGTAATCAATTTCTTGACGACGGGACATGAAAGCATATGCCGTTGGGACTTGTTTCATCTCTCCGTTTTCGCCTAGGATGAAGACATGAATGGTATATAGTTGTTTGAAAGGTTGTCTGACAACTCTATAAATCCCGTCCATATACCATGTTTTGGCTTTCTTCATCAATTGCAGTTGTTCCGTTGTAGCAAAGATGAGTTGTCTTGCTCCCGTACAACTCACATCTCCCCGCCAAAACTCGCTCGGGAAGTGGTGGGACTGAAACTGTAGAAATAAATAGTTTTAGAACAATGCTATAGTGTCTACACATAATATCTATATATCACTAATATACAACATCTACATATATATTTAAAATGATTGACACAATCAACAGAGAGTCAATTTCACTCCTACATGTTTCATTGACTTTGACTTCTTCACGGAGCAAAATAATGTAATAATAATTTATCATTGATTACCTCATAATCCAAATCTAAAGGTTCTGCTGGTCGCATTGCCTGTCGGGAACGGTTCACTCTCTTGCATAGGACTGTCATCGATGACAAGGCAGTTGATGAACTCACGAATTCAGTTTGCAGTCTTTCCTAAATTATACTCTGTGTAATATCGATTTTTGAAAATATATTAATGTCGATGAGAGGCAAGTGAACATGCAAGTGCTGCTGATCACGGAGATCTCGTGGTAGAGGACATTTTATGTAATTCTTTTAAGAATCTTAAAGATCAATTGCAAAACAATACTAAAGTAAAACGTGTACTTACATTTCGTTGTATCGGATCCACAGAACTGACACATTAATTCAATACAAGAATAGCACATAAATCCAATATAATGAATTCACGTTTCACATTTGTTATGCCCAAGTTTCCAGTAACGAAAAATAATGTCGTCCTTCATCTTTTCGCATGTTTCCATGTGTGGAACATTTGTCAAGATTTTCAACACACATTAACCACCTTTCACAGAGTGAATTCTGCTAACATTATGAAAACTAAAACATTCTTCAGCTCCAAAATTAAACTGTTATTTTACGCACGTCTCACTGAGCGATTAAAGCGAATGTGTTGTTTTAATATTTCTTTGAACGGATTATCGTGAGCGAATTAATGTACATGTTGTTTTAAGCGTATGCTCTTACTTGACACTGATTCTGGGTTATGTTATCTGTCTGTGTTGTCAGTTATGTCTATGTTTTATAAAAACAAATATATCGTTATCTTTATCCATTAAAGATAATTACCACCGAACCATCGTTACCGTTAATTAACCCAGGGGCTGGTTCGGGTGCGGGGCCGGTTTGGGTTAAATATCCAGGGGCCGGTTCGGCTTGGGGCTGGTTCGGGTGTATCCCCAAACAAGTGACACCTTCAACTCAATTAGCCCTAAATAGTTTGCACTACTGCATCCCTTTGGTTCATGTCGCACCGTGTATAAACGTGTGGAAACAACCTCAGATCAGAGGGATACTTGCCCATGAAAGGTAGGGGAATATCGAGTTTCTTTGCAAATATCGAGTTAAAAGGGTAGTTTTGCTGGTTGGGACCATGGAATTATATCGAGATATCCGAAATATCGAGACAACCGTATCGAGTTAAAAGAGCTTGAATAATGATAAATTATGAAGGATTTTGCCGGGACCAAGATGTTATATCGAGACAACCGAGATATCGAGTTATCAGAGTTCGACACAACTGTGCTTGACTGTATTGTCTGACACCATACACCGATAGCCTGTCTTTGATCTTGCTGTAGAAACAAACGTTGGCAAATATGTATTTTGTTTAGTTCATCATCACTAGAAAGCAATTTAAAAGCGATTGATAAGTTAAAGAGCTGAAAGGAAATCCCCTGTCTATACTGTATATCTACCTCCCTATGATGGTCTACAGACTGGGCTCAGGATTTGTTTTCACATTTGCATACCATTCTTTTATGCAATATTATTACTGGTTGCTATAAACATGCCTTTGTATTCTGTCAAAATGAACACTTTCAGAAGAAATAAATGTGATTACCAAATATTTACAAACTTTATCAAGTTAATATTTACAAAAAAATACAAATCTTGGGAAGATAATATTTACGAAGCTTGTAATTATTATAAAAAGTTAGGATGGATTTTACCGCTTCTTCTTTTAGTTTCAATATCCCTCCAATTACCATCCATCTTTTCTTCTGTTTGAGTTCACATTGTACAAATACACAATGCTTGTTGCGTGGGACAAAACAGAACTGCGGGAACAAGCCGTACTCTAATGTTAACGGAGTGGTCTGCTCATCAACATAGTCATAATAAATTTCCTACCATTACACGTGTCATTGAAGCATAATTTATGCCATAATAATGTTCACTGATGATTTAAAGCTGCATATGAAGATGTGAAACATGTTACTGAAAAAATGGTTCCTAAATTATATTTTTCCATAAAATATGTTAAAAGTTATGGAATATTGCATACAGAGACGTTCCTCATCTTGGTGTATTGTATATTTGTTTCAGGATCTGTACATTATGATTGACATACTAATACCTCTATAGCAAAGGGAGATAATTAAGATGTCTGTATTTAGCCATACAAAACAATTTAGTAGTACAAATCATTGTGGCTACTTAGAAACTGACACCACTACATCTAAAATAATTGAACAAATCGACAATCTGTTGAATGCAATTCTAATTGCACCATAGACAGCCATGGACTAAGCACGAACAACAGATGTCACTATGTCAATTGCTGTCACTACCATGAGTCAAATAAACTGTTACCGACATAGAAACTAAAATAAACCTTAATTTAGTTGGGGCCTTTTTGAAACAAGATAGTTCAATAACGTCTTTTTTTGGTTCTTTGCCAAACATTTTCATATCAGAATACGAGCATGTTTACAACACAAATTACCTTATTCTGTGTGTCTGTGCCCAAAGTTGTTTGTTGCCTGAAGATGTGAAGATGGCCTGCTTATATACTAAACACCTTTGTCTAAATGTGTAATATAATATACACATTGATTATTTTATGAATGCTGTATAATTGTTTATCACCTGGACTGGAGTATGATGTTTCCAAGAACTACAGTGAGCACCGTTGGCCACTCTTAAAGGTTAAGCCTTTATCCGCTTTTTTTTATGGCAGAAAATTAAGTTCCGCTTTTTTGGCCAGTTCCACAATTACATACACCCAGCAGAAGCACCCGATTTCGTTTGCTGTCGTAAGTGTGTAAGTTTGATGTAACCACGTGCTGTCCGTGGTTTTGACAGTGTGTGTGATTTGTGCCTTGCCTTGCCTCGCAAGTGTTGCCGCAATGTCGAATGCCTGTACTGAAACGTGAATGCCAGTCAACTTACACGAACTACCGGCGACTTCGTCTTCTTTTCATGGTCCCGAGAGACGGATTGTGTAAGTACTTGCCTAATTATGAACTTTGACGATGATGACTATGATATGCCCGGTGCAACACGGCCACGCTCGCAAGACGGGCGCCCTGTCCGGTTGTCGTCCAGGCGCAGACGCCCATTTGTCAGATTATGTTGTTGACATGAATTATGAACTTGATAAAGTAATGATTACTCGTTCAGAAGTAAGTGTAGGAAGTGCACATTCAACTAGTTGGTCCGTTTTGTCCAGACTGAGTGATAGGCAAACTGCCGAACTTGAGAAAGTGAAACGAAAACATGAACTTGATGAACTTAAGAAACAGTTAGAGGAAGAAAGAGAGATAGCTGTTCACATTAAGCATATGGAGGATAAAGCATCTGAAACTAAACATGAGTTAGAGAGAATGGAGAGGACTATCTAGAAAGAGAAAGAAAGTAGGATGTTACAGCTAACTAAAGAACGAAATTTAAGAGAAGCTGAGAACAAATATATAGAGGCAACCATAATTTCATCTATGATTGACAGTGGTGATCATGGTGATAGGATGAAAGAGCCAGATGTCAGTGAGACATCCAATCCCAGAGAAGTTACCACTGAGGTAACATACCCCAAGGAATTTATTGATTAATGTGCACCAATACCCTCCAATAGACATATCAAACATGAAATTGAACATTCAAATGTAGGCCAAAATCACAGCCTTAATCCAAGTGCTCACGTATTTGCACCCAGACAGAATGAGGATTTCCATGTTATTCCATCACCTGCTGATGTACCTCAGCCCCAACTTGCTTCAGGTGCTACCAGTGCTGATTTGCCCATGAATGCAATGCTGATTTCCTCTGTGTATGGAATGCCTAAACCTACTCTACCAGAGTTCAAGAGTGGTAAGGAACGAGCATTTATCTTACTGAAGATTGCACTTGAGACCTTAGTTGATGTACACCCTCACCTGACTGATTCATACAAGTATCAACTATTATTGGACAAACTTGGGAATAAACCAAGACAGCTTGCCGAGGCCTTCATGTTTCACCCTACTCCTTATACAAGAGCTGTGCAGGAGTTGCAAGGCACATGTGGTAGTGCAGGCCAACTGATTCAGAATGAGATAAGTGCCTTGCTTAACAGTCCACTGATTAAGTTTGGGGATTATGATGCCTTTGAGAATTTTTCCTTGCGTATACAGTCATTAGTTGGGATGTTGAAATCTATGCAGAGCGGAGCAGAACTGTATTGTGCGTCACATGTGTCAACTTTGATCACCAAGCTTCCCCATGGTTTGCGTGATAACTTTACAGAGTACTGTATCAAACAGGGACTGTATGATTCAGGTTCTACTGTATCATACAATTTGACCCATCTTGATCAGTGGTTACAGCTGAAATCAAGGGCCAAGAGATTATCTCATCAGGCAGTGCCTAAAAGTGACTCAAGTAAGCAAGTAAGTTTGAGAAGCGAATATATCGACGTACAGTTATCTCCAGCCAACACAATAAGGAAGCAAGTTCTGCTTCAACATTCTACACTCAACAAAATGCTTCAAATGGTAGACAACAGAGTCAACTGGTCAAACCAAAATACATGGGATACTGTCCTAAATGTGTATCGGCTATCGATGTGCTAGAAAACATAAACCAGAGGACTGTAACCTAAAGAGACCATGTCATTTCTGTAACGAGTTGCATCTTACTACCCTACATGATGCATACAGAAATATGACAGCACAGAAGATACTGTTTTCAAAGACATCTTCCCCGTCTGCACAAGTATATCTTGATCAGCCATCCAAGCCCTTAATACCATGTTGAAAGTCGTTGAAGTTACTTTGTATGGACAATGCCAAAGCATGAATCCCTGCGCGATCCTTGATGACGGATCCCAAAGAACTAGGATACTTGAATCTACTGTGAAGTTTCTTGATCTTGTGGAGATACCATTTTGCTTTCAACAATTAGGCGTGAGCCATATCTGTGTAGTGGCCAGTCTGTGAATCTCCAGGTATCTGAAAAGGATATGCCAGAAACAAGATACAATTTTGTCAATGCCTTCATGTCAAGTAACGTGTCTTTATCTGAATATACATACCCAGTGGCTGCACTACAGAAACAGTGGGCACATATCAGAGACTTACCTTTGCCAAATATTGACAGTGCTAAACCAGTAATTTTGATTGGTTCAGGCTTGGCTGAATTGATTGTGCCTCAAGAACCAGTTAGAAGGCGACCGAGTGGTTCGCCAATAGCTGTGCATACCAGACTGGGTTTGTCACTTCAAGGACCCCAAAATGTACAGAAACAAGTTAAGACCCAAGCAGTATTATTCACAGAGATGGAATCTCCTGGTCTTATGCGTCATGTTCAGGCATTGTAGAAAATGGATGTGATACCTTATCTGAATAAGGATGTGAAAAGGTCCAAGCAGGATAACCGTGCCTTGCATATTCTAGAAACCGACACTGAAAGATTAGAAGTGAATGGCGTTAACAGATATGCAACTCCATTGTTAAGATTTGATGATACAGTGTTTGATGCCTCAAGGAAAGATATAATCCCAACACTTCAACGCGTGGAGCGCCGTTTACTGAGTCATCCAGCAAAGGCAGAAATACACAGTGGTCTTATACACAACTTAGTTGAAGCTGGACTAGTCCGAGTTATTAGTGACGAAGAGGACAGGAGAACTTCTGAGTCATGGTGCATCCCTCATCATGTTGTGGAACACAATGATAAACACAGGTTGGTGTTTAATTGCTCCTTTGAACACAATGGTAAAAATCTCAACATGAAATTGCTACCTGGACCACAGTTAGGACCATCCCTACTTGGAGTTCTTATGATATTTCGACAGCATTCTGTTGATATTGCTTGGGACATAAAGACTATGTTCCATCAGGTGAGACTTTTGCCAAGGGACAGATTACTTCTTCGTTTTCTGTGGCGTGACATGAAATGCTATGGTGAACAGGATATTTATGAATGGCAGGTACTGCCATTTGGAACAACATGCAGTCCAGTTTGCGCTACTTATGCGTTACAGAGGCATGTGAAGGATCACAGCTCTGGGAAACAACATTTCAAGAGATCTGTTATGGAGGCTTTCTATGTCGACAACTGCCTTGACAGTGTGCCAACTAGTGAAGATGCCAGGACCTTGCTTCATTATATTGGGGAACTGTTGGATGATGGAGGATTTCATGTCAGACAATGGACCAGTAATGATGCTTCGGTTGTGCGAGATGTTCCATCCGAGGACCGTTCAGATTCATGCGAGATGTGGTTGAACAGAAGTGGAGATGATCAATCTGAGAGAACTTTAGGTTTGTTGTGATACATCAATACTGATGAGCTTGGTTACAAACAGAAGCTAACAGAATATGCCTCACTTACCTTGAGAGTGATTTATCGCATACTTGCAGGACAGTATGATCCTATTGGATTTTTGGCGCCCTTCTTAGCTGTAGCTTAGTGTATTGCTCAGGACCCATGGGCAGTCAAGAGAGACTGGGATGCAACTATTGAACAAGGTGCGATATACTGACTGACTGAGTATGGTCTTACGCCGCTTTTAGCAATATTCCAGCAATATCACGGCAGGGGACACCAGAAATGGGCTTAACACATTGTGCCCATGTGGGGAATCGAACCCGGGTCTTCGGCGTGACGAGCCAACGCGAGGTGCGATATATGACAGATGGATGACTTGGGAGTTGCAGCTTCTCAATGTCAGTGTTGTGCGACTTCCACGTTGTTTTTCTACATTGACAACTGATCCCGAAGGGACAACGCGGGAAATTCATATCATCTGTGACACGTCCGAGCGGACATATGGAGCTGTTGTATATATATGAGAACTGTTGATGGTGACTATATTCAAGTCGGATTTCTGCAAGCACGTATGCGAGTTGCACCTAAGCGTCAATTGTCCATGCCTAGGTTGGAGCTCTTGCTGGAGCTCAATTGTCAGATGTATTGTCTAGTGAACTTACATTGCCAATACACAGAATGTTTCTTTAAAGTGATTCAACAACAGTATTAACATGGATCAAATCTGACTCTTGCCCTTTCAAAGTGTTTGTGGGAACACGTATTACTGAGATACAAACCCTCACTGAATCCTCTCAATGGTGTTATATCAACACTGCATCTAATCCAGCATATGACTTGAAAGGCAGGAAATTAATAGACATAACTGATGAACAATCTAGATGGAGAAATGGTCCAACTTTCTTGCATCTACCTCATGACCAGTGGCCGAATGAATTTCAGCCGGACACTTTAGATGAAAGCGAATTGAAAACAAGGTGCTTGATGTCAAAATTGAATGGTTTAAATGTTGATCTGCCTGTTGATCATAACAGTTGTACAGAGTGGAACGATCTCGTCACCAAAACTATGGAGGTGCGTCATGGGGCGGCTGATAATGCTGAGACTAGGACACAAACTGAAATGCATCTCTTCAGCCTTGCTCAGTGACAGTACTTTCCAGATGAATTTACGGCATTGGAATCTGGGAACCACTTACCTTCCAGTAGTAGGTGGTTGAAGCTTGATCCTGTATATGATTCAACACACAAGGTTATCCTTGTTGGCGGAAGACTGAACAGATCTGAAGACATACCTGGTGACTTGAAACACCCTGTAGTGTTAGATCCAAAGCATACCATAACCAAGCTTCTAATAAAGGAGTATGGTGAACGTCTTAAAACACTATAGGCCAGAGTGGGTGCTTGCAGAAATGAGGAGAACATTCTGGATCATACATGGAAGAGAGGCAATTCGCAAGTATCAGCGCAAGTGCACTACATGCCGGAAATGGAGAGCCAAGCCAGAGGCTCCCAAGATGGCTGATTTACCGTCAGCACGACTTCGATTATTCAAGCCGGCATTTTATTCCACTGGAATAGACTGTTTTGGTCCTTTGATTGTGAAGGTTGCTCGGAGATTGGAGAAGAGATTGGGCATTCTCTACAAATGTTTGACAACTAGGGCTGTTTATCTCGACATTGTGGAGAAAATGGACACAGATTCATTTCTGATGTCCCTTAGACGAATCATATCAAGACATGGCAAGCCTTATGAACTGTTATGTGACGGAGGTACAAATTTCCGAGGTGGCCAGAGAGAGCTTGAAGAAGCATGGTTTGCAATGACTCCTTCCCTGATTCAACAGCTGGCAAAACAGAAAATCTGTTTTCGGTTTAATCCACCTAGTGCTCCACACTTCGGTGGTGCATTGGAACGGGAGATTAAGTGTATAAAGGATGGACTTAAGGTAACTTTGGGAGATCAATCAGTCACTGAGCCTGTACTTCAAACAGTATTTGCTGAAGTTGAAGGCATTTTGAACTCTAAACCATTAGGTTATGTGTCTAGTGATGTGCGTGACATCGATCCCATTACTCCCAATGTGCTGCTAATGGGACGCCTGGATCAATCCCTTCCACAAGGGGTCTACCCCGCCAGTGAAATCATAGGGCGACGCAGGTGGCGGCATCGTCAAATCCTTTCCGATCACTTTTGGAAGCGCTATTTGAGACGTTACTTGCCAGAAATGCAGTCAGGGAGCAAATGGGTTACTGATAAGAAGGATCAGAAAGACATTGACTGTAACGATGTAGTGATGATTGTTGACCAACAAAGTGTAGGTGCCACATGGTTAGTTGGAAGAGTGTCCAAGATCCATCCGAGTTGTCACGGAAGAGTTCGTGTTGCCACAGTAACTGTGGGTGACCGTGACATTACGCGACCAGTCACACGTCTAATCAGACTCCCAAGATGCCCAGATGATGATGATTAACTGCCTATGAACTGTGACCTAATAGTCAATTTGCTAATGGCTGACCTAGTTTTGGTGCCATTGAACAGAACTGACAGTAATGCTTGATGATAATTTATAACTATGTCTGAGGAGTAATTACTTTCTTATATTTTTTTTGTCAGAAAGTAATGAATTATATTATTTTGAATTTTAATTATGAGAAGAAAATTAAGCCTTTTCCGCTTTTTTGGCCAGTTCAACAATTACATATATACACCCAGCAGAAGCACCCGATTTCGTTTGCTGTCTTAAGTGTGTAATTATGATGTAACCACGTGCTGTCCGTGGTTTTGACAGTGTGTGTGATTTGTGCCTTGCCTTGCCTCGCAAGTGTTGCGGGAATGCCTAATGCCTGTACTGAAACGTGAATGCCAGTAAACTTACATGAACTACCGGCGACTTCGTCTTCTTTTCAATGGGTCACAACACCCATAGAGATGCATCTCTTTTTCTTGAGGTTAGCTAAGTGTGTGCATGTATATGTAAAGAAATACAATTCTCAAACTGAAATCGTTTACACAGGCTATTCCTGTGTATGAGATAACTGAATGCCATGGTACGTAACAATCAACAGTGTTGATGTGTTGAATATGTAAATGCCCTTATATGCGGAAATTGATAATAATTTCGAAAAAACGATTTTGTAATTCCTTCTTGTGATTTTTATTTTATGTAGGTACAGTTCCTTTGACCATATAACACAACAGTGAAGATTTCGGTCATTATTACAGAAACTGTAATCTTAAGTTAATGTAAGAGGCCAGTATGGGTGATTGTAAGTACATTTCACTGCATATTGTAGACAGTATGAGACTCTTGCAGTTGTCAATTTCTGTGATCTGTGTTATCAAATACATAAAACTATTTCCAGCAATGGCTCACTGAGGTTCATCCAGAGAAGATAAAACCGGTTATTAATAACGAAGTATTCGTTGGAACATAATACTTTAGCCTTTAATGCTAAGGGGTTTTTTTGTTTCTCAATTACAGTTTTGCTGTGATCACACGTTGCTAATCGCACTCGGAGAGCTACAATGAAGATACAAAATATGTATCCAATCGTAAAATATGTTTCACATCACGCACGTGCGACAGATGGCTGTGCAAAACTACAGTTGAGCTTCTGCTCTGTTGATTATTGTTCAATAATATATATAAATAAAATCAAGTAGATTTTCTCGTTGACTGGTGATTTGGCGTCATACAGTTTTTCGCTGACCCAAGATATTGTCAGTTTCGTGTCGTTTGCTCCTCAGTTCACACAGCACACAACTGAAATCGGTTTCTTATGTCCTCACTTTTAAAATACAAATCAAACAGTTATTAATACGTCTACATACGTTTCTATTGTTTTTTGTTGTTGTTGTGTTTTTTATGATATTCCAGCTGTATGGCGACAGTGCGTAAATGATCGAGTCTGGACCAGACAATCCATTGATCAACAGCATGCTTATCTATCTAGGCAATTGGGATACGACAATTTTCGTCAACTAAGTCAGTGAACCTGACAACTTGATCCCGTTAGTTGTGCCATATACCTTGAATATTGCTGAGTGCGGCGTAAAACTAAACTCACTCACGTTAGTTGTGTCCTACGACAAGTAGGTATACATAATAGTCAGAACAAGGATAATGTGCGTCCCTGACCAGTAATATCCCCTGAATGACAAGCAGAATTGGTCTTCAGTAACCCATGCTTGTGGTAAGAAGCGACTAACGGGATCGGATAGTCAGATTTGCTGACTTGGTTGATGAACGTCATAAATACTGGATTGTCGGGTACAGACTCGAATAATTACTGCCCGCTGTCGTATGGCTGAACTTTTGTTGAGTGTGACTTTAAACAATAAACAAATACCGTTTTAACATATTTTATATTCGAACTTACACTTTCTCAGTAAGCAAAACAACTGGTTGTTATTGCTTCCATACAACTAGTAGTTTGTGAGTGAGTGAGTTAATATTTTACGTCACATCGGCAATATTTCAGCCATATCGTGACGAGAACATTTTACATTGTATTGGAATATGTATATATTATAAAACCTGTCATCGAAGGACAGTAAAACAACTAGAGTATCACAGATATATATATGTAAAACTAGTAATTGAATCTAAAACATTTTAACCATAGGGGACAACACAATCTAAAAATGGGCTATTGATCACTAACAACTGAAGGTAGATCACCATACTAGGGACCATGGGGACTTACAGTACATTTGCTTCCTGCATGGGCCCTAGCTGGATTTATATCATCCCCTCAGCCGTTAGCAATTAAGATATATCTAGCCATACATTAAAATTACACATATTCTACGATTAAAAAACGGAAAGTTGAAATTTACTTTGAATGTTATGGGACTTACGTACCCTCTCAGGAGGACAATAATTTTACAGTACTTTAACCCCCCTCGAGGATACAGCCACTAACAATCTATGTTACTAATTCAAACTTCCAATCATAAAATATTTATCTATTTACAAATCTGTTAACAAATTTAATTCTTTTAAAAAAGCAATAATTAAATGAGGACTTATATTAGTAAAAGATCCTTCATAGTTCGATTTGAAATAGATATCCCTTGTGATGGAGTACTCAACACAGTCAAGCAAGACATGCTTGACCGTGATTCGTTCATCACAAGGGATACAAAACGGAGGATCCTCACCTTTTAATAGGTACTCATGCGTATATCTTGTGTGGCCAATACGACATCGTCGTATGATGACCTCTTCAAATCTGGACTGACAACCCAAGTAAGTGTAACCGATATAGGGTTTTATTGCATGTAATTTATTGATACCTACTTGGGTGTCCCACTTCTTTTGCATCAGATCACGGATATAAGATCTTATAGCAGCTTTGTAATCAGAGTATGGGATCAGAAGTGGTGTCACAGATTTGTTGAGTGCTGCCTTAGCAGCAATATCAGCCATTGTGTTCCCAGAAATGCCAACGTGGCTGGGTAACCAACAAAAGACGATGTCGCATTGGCCAGTAGCAAGTTCATTGTACAATTCAATAATTTCTAATAAAAGTGGATGTTTGCAAGAAAGATTTTTAATAGCCTGAAGACACGAAAGAGAATCTGAAAAGATGATATATTGTTTATATTTACGGTGTTTATTAATATATTTAAGAGCTGTAAGTATTGCGTTTGCTTCTGCTGTGAAAATTGAACTGTCATTGGGTAGTCTGGAAGATATTGTTTTGGACCCAATGACAGTGGCACAAGCAACCGCGCCACCATCCTTGGATCCATCTGTATATAAGGATTTATAGGTATTATATTTATTTCTTAATTGACTAAATTCTTGTTTATACTGTAAATCATTAGTTTCGGATTTTTTAAATGTTGTTAATGTTAAGTCAACGTCTGGCCTCACCAATTGCCAAGGAGGAGAAGAAAAGACGAGAAGGAGAAATATTCTCCAGCTCAATGCCAGCAGCAGAAAGGAATGGTTTAATTCTGTGCCCAAGAGGCGGAACAAGAGAAGGCTTTTTGTTATACAAATCCTCATAAAGAGGAGTGAAGACACAGTTAAATGCAGGGTTAGACTCGTTAGAATATAGTTTGGTAATATATTGTAAAGATAATTTAATACGGCGTTGGGAAAGAGAAGGCTCATCTGCCTCAACATAGAGACTATCAACTGGAGAAGTTCTAAATGATCCAAGACAGAGTCTTAGACCTTGGTGGTGAACAGAATCAAGTAGTTGAAGGTTGCTTTTACAGGCTCCGCCATATACGATCGAACCATAATCAAGTTTAGATCGTACCAATGATCGTATAAGTGAAGGAGGGTAGTTTGATCCCTCCCACTTTGAGTTGGAAACAACTTTCAACAAATCGAGTGCCTTCAGGCATTTGGCTTTAAGTGATTTAATATGCGGCAAAAAGGTTAAATGGGAGTCGAAAATTAGACCTAAGAATTTGGCCTCCTTAACAACTTTGATGGGAGTGCCATTTAAAGATAATTCTGGATCTTTATGCGGCTTATATGTTCTACAAAAGTGTAGACAATTAGTTTTGGACTTAGAAAATTTAAAGCCGTTTTCAAGACACCATTTATTTATTTTATTTAAACACAACTGCAATTGCCGTTCAATAGTATGCATATTTTTACCACGACAAGAAATATTAAAATCATCCACAAAAAGTGATCCATCAATTGAATCGTTTAAAACCTTGGATAAACTGTTTATCTTGATACTAAACAAGGTGACAGACAAAATACTGCCTTGCGGGACACCTTGATCCTGATTGTAATGGTCAGACAGGGTTGAACCCACTCGGACTTGAAATTGCCGGTCATTTAAAAGTTGGATATAAATTGAGGCAAACGGCCTCGTAATCCAAAGTCATGTAAATCTTTTAAAATCCCATGTTTCCATGTCGTGTCGTATGCTTTTCTAAGTCGAAAAGATCGACACTGCATGTTGTTTATTAATTATGGCATTTTTTACAAAAGACTCTAAACGTACTAAATGATCGATGGTACTACGGTTTTTACGGAAACCACATTGTATATTAGTTATAAGGTTATTGGTTTCCAAGTACCAAACAAGTCTATTGTTGATCATACGTTCCATGGTTTTGCAAACGCAGCTTGTCAGTGAAATTGGTCTATAATTAGAGGGATCAGTATGATCACGTCCAGGTTTAGGGATGGGCACAATAATAGCATCACGCCACGACGAAGGGAAATGTCCAGTTGTCCAAATGTCATCAAAAATATGTAACAGTGTCTCCAAACATGACTCTGGCAAGTGCTTCAGGAGTTGATAATGTATGTTATCAGCTCCAGAAGCAGTATCGTGAGCCTGATCAAGAGCAGTATGAAGCTCATGTATCGAAAAGGTTTCATTGTAGTCTTCCCCATTATCTGAATTGAAATTAATAGCTTTCTTTTCTTGCTGTTTTTGATATTTTTGGAATTCAGGTACATAATTTGCTGAGGAAGAATGTTTGGCC